CTGGGCGGCAGGTTCGAATCCCGGCGCTGCAGCTTTTTGGCCGGATGTTTGTGCCGCCTTCGTGCCTGGCCTCAGTTTCCTCCTCTGGGAAGTGGGCAGCTCCTTTATGCTTTGAAGGGACAGGGCTCAGTTGAGCTGCTGAAAGAAAGCCGTCCCTGTGTCCTGTAGAGGATGCAATAAACCAAGGGATTAGGGTCGCCACTGGTGACTTGTAACACGCTGCGATAAGTTGTAATCTACCCTCTACCTGCTGCTCCCCTCTGCGGGGGCCTCGTTCCCCACTTTTTAAAGTTAGGCACAAGTGCTGCTTCCTCCAGGCAGCCTTGTCTGGTTTCTGGCTTCCCGGCTGAAGCAGCCTCTCAGCTGGCCGGCCTCAGGGTCCAAGTCCCACAGCCTTGAGCGGGGCAGCCTCCATCTGCTAACAGCAGCTTCCACACCCCAGCACTTGCCTGGCGGTTTGCTGCTCCGTTCTCCCAAGAACCCTAATTCCTGTGTCATTTACTGATGAACAAAAGTTCAGAGAGGTCAGCTTCGTCCCGTTTTAAAGTGGCAGAGCTGGGGCTTTCAGAATCGACCCCCTTCAATTTTGAAGTGAAATTCAAACTCCTGCCGATAGTAAGTGCTCAGATGTATTTTTTTTTTTAATATATATGTATTTTTGAATGAAAGCACAGATGCAGCAGCTCGTCACCTCCCGCCCCTTCCAGTCTGGTTTCCTTGCAGAGCCCAGTGCCCTTTTGCAAATGCAAACTTAATGTCACCGGGCTTACCATCCACAACTGCCTCTCTCCAGCTGCTTCTGAGCCTCCGGATTCATTCTGAAGCAGCTTTAGTGAGTGTTCCCAGAAGACACCCGGCCCTTATGTTTGCTGGCTGTTGGGTGCCACTCCCCTAACCCCCAGGGACACCTTTCTTGGCCTAAGTTCAAGCCAACTGCTCTAGACTGTGCCCTGCACACCCCGCAGGGGCAAGCAGCCCTCAGGCCCTGGTGCTGCCCGAATCCTGGCTTTGTGTCTGATTTGGGCGTGTTTGGTGTGGGTCACAGCATTTGGACCCCTAGCCAAGAGTGGAGGTCCAGGGCCCTGAACTAGCCCGGCAGGCTTTCTTAAGTCGACATAAGAATATCCAAACCTGTAGACAATTTTTATAATAATGTACTTGAGCCAAGCAGAGGATATGTGTGGAAGCCAGATCTCACCTCAGTAGACTGAAAATGCTTTCAGGTTTGATGGTTTTCAGCTTCTCTTATGCATTTGGAATTGAGGAGATGTAAGGAAGGTTACGTGAAAATGCGGGAAAAAGCAAGGCTTTGCCCGGGTCGGACTTTATGATCAGATCACCCTGTGAGGTTTCTTTCCCTAGAACCCGCTTTCTGTCCACACTTAAAATAAAGGCTTCTCCCTGGTTTGGGGCCCCTCTCCCAAGCCATTCAGCTACCACTGATACATGAAGTGAATGGCCCACCTCGCCTCTTCTGGAGTTGACTTAACAGTTTTTAAAAGAAGCCTGGACACTCATCGTTTCCTTCACTTTCTGGTTACAATAAATGAGAAAAGGTAATATTTTTAAATGTATTACTGTCAGCCTGTGGTCAGCTAATTCCTGAAGTTTCCTGTTTCACTCTGTTATAATTTAGGAGAGGCAGTGCAAGACGGAGTTGCACATGGTCTGCGACGCCAGCTTTTAGGTGCTAAACTAGCTGAGACGGTCATCCCTGGAAACTGGAGATTTTTTATGAGTTGTTGCCTTTTCAGCTGGTCTCTCCTTTGCCTTATAAAATGGTCCCTGTTTGTTTTCTTCCCTTATTTTGTAATTCACATAATTTTTTAAGATAGCCATCCTTAGGTAGAACAGAGTTTCTGCCTAGGGCGAGGGCAGTCATGAGTTAGACATATTGAAAAGAATCTCCTAGTGCGTCTCCTTTTCTGGAGGGTCCTGTGCCACCTCTGAACACCCTCCATCAAGAGGGGCTGATGTAATTTCGTGGAGGGAGTTTAGTCTAGAGTTAAGTTTTCACTTTGCTCTCAGCTGTTTATTCTGTTAAACTTTCACTGTCTTCGAAATTTCTCTAGGGCAAGTGTCAGCTGTAAGGGCTGAACAGCTGGGAGGGTGGGAGGAACAAGGGTGCTGGGTCCAGAGATCTGCTTCGCACCAGGTTCCTTACCTGAGGCCTCACAGAACTCTTGGAGCCCTGCCCCTCGTTATGCCAAAGAGGGCAGAATCCTGCGCCCTGTCCAGCAGGGCACGTGCACTGCGTACCCCACTGTTGTCTCTCCCTTGCCCGCCTGCACCCCATCTCCTGTCCGCTGTACAGCTTCACTGCATCGTCACCCATGTGCTTCCTGAAAACATCTGTGGTTGGAAAGGGAGACAGACTTTGAGTATTATTCTTTTAATCCCCATCCAAGGATATGTTTTTATTGATGTTAGAGGGGAAGGGGCAGAGAGAGAGAGAGGGAGAGAGAGAGAGGGTGAGAGGGAGAGAGAGAGAGAGGGAGAGAGAAACATCAATGTGAGAGAGAAACATTGTTCCATTGCCTCCGGTACGCGTCCTGACTGGGGCTCGAACCCGAAACCCAGGTATATGCCCTGCCTGGGAATTGAGCCCACAACCTTTTGGTGCATGGGACGACACTCCAACCCACTGAGCCACCCAGTCAGGGCTGATTAATTTTTTAAAAGAAAAAGTAGTAACCTGGGAGTGAAGCAAATAGACATAGTAAACATTTATTACAGGTTTGAAGTTGCCTCCCTTTTTGTTTTTCAAGGAACATAAAATATATAGATCATTAAGTTTGCTGATAATAAAAAGGTTATGCTTGGCATGTTAATATAAAAATGGAATTTAAATTGGATAACAGACTTTTCTTTGTTCTTTTAAATCATGTAACAAGTGGAGCAGCAAACTGTTAGAGAGGTTAAGGTGAGTGGTGTGCGGGCAGGCTAAATGGCCATTTCAGACAGGTGAATAAAGAACAACTAAATTTATTAAAAGAGTATGGGGATATCCAAAGGGAAGGGCTACAGAGCCCTGAGCCAAAGGGTATTGGGTCCACGATGTCAGCAAAAGTGTCCTTGGGACAGTGAGACAAGGAAGGGCACAGAAGCAGCAACAGGAGAGCCTGGCTGGGCTGCTCTGGCTCCCTGGGAAGTCAGGGAGAGAAGGGGGGGCCTTGGAGACAGGTTTAGGAGGTAACCCCCCAGGATGTGCTGCCTCTGCCCATTGCTCCCCTTTTGCAAGTCTTGTGGGGTTCCCTTGGAGGGATGGAAATGGCGCTGGTGTGCGCGCTCCTAGTAGGGAGTGCGCCCTGGGCCCTTTGTTCTGAACGTATTTATCTCTTTCTTGCAGGTGGAAATCTTAGGGGAGGTCTTGGGAGGGTCTCAGTAGAATATTCATCAGCTTTCCAGGGGCGCTCTTTCAGGGTCCCGGTCTCCACTGATTGGTTGGTGTCAGGGCAGGGGCTCACTAGTCAGTGTAGCTGGTCCTGAGGCAGCCACGGAGCCACTTATCTGGTTACTTGGGCCTGGAGCTGAAATACAACTGAGGCCTAGATGTTACCTTTAAGGAGGAAATGCTCAGGGGGTCTAAACCACATGACCAGTGATATGCTGGGAGGGTAGGTTACCCTGGGGACAAGGTTCTTGTTTTCCCAGTTTCTCCCCTTGCTAGGCATCCGGGGCTTCCTGCCCTGGTGGGTCTCCGTACCCTGTTTCTGTACCTGGCTTCTGTACCTGGCCCATCTAACACTGTTGAACTCTGGAATCTGGCACCTTTGTGCCCTAAACTGGGTTTGGGCCAAGGCAGGATGGGCAGAAGAAAACAATGTCATCAGGAAAAACATCTCTAACTTTCCTTTTGAGACTTCTCTCTTTGAGCCTTTGCTGTCTAGGTGGAGGCCACGTGGGAAGTGCCCAGGGAGGGGCACGGCTGGGAATAGAGTTTGGTGGTGGGAACTGACCAGAAGGCATGGAAAGACATCAGTAGGTAGGGGCATGGTTGGGAGGTGGTGACTGCTTCCTGGCTTGTGTCCAGGGTCAGGGTCAAAGTGTTGCCGGTGGAAATAAGGCTCTTCCACAGAGTCAGGAGAAAAGCATTTCAGTGACCCACGTGTGGGTGGATGGGGGGGAGAGGTAGGCTGCCCCAGGCGCCTGGAGGCTGTGCCTCATCCAGGCCGGGTGGTTCAGCTCCCTCCCGCTGTGGAAGAAGCTCAGTCTTGTCTTCATCAAGCCCAGAAGGGCCAGGGTCCGGAGACTGTGCCCTCAGCTCCCTCCATGCCAGAGCTCAGTCCAGGTCAGTCCCTCTCCGCCTCTGGCTGCCTTAGTCTATGTTCTTGGCTGCCCTCCGGCCTGTGCTTCTGGTACCCAGTCTTGCGCTTGGGCCCTCGGCTGCTAGGCCCACACTTGGAGCCTGTGCTTGAACCCATGTGGCTGCTACGCCTGCTTGGCTGCTACAGAGAGATCACGTGTGAACCCACGGGCGAAGGAGGGCGAGTGAATGCCTGTTACTGGGAGAGAGGCCTTTGTAAAGCTTTGATTATATTATCTCAGGCTTGGGAAGGACAGGTGCTCTTTCAAACTGACCAATCTCTTTCCTGTGCTTTGGGGATTTGCACTGGGCCCTCCCCTGAGCCAGTCCCGCCTTTGTCCCAGGTTAGACACCTCCCCTTTGTGGTTGCCATCCTGGCTCCTACTGCGTGTGCCCAGAAGAGGACTTTCCCCTCTATCGTTTTAGCTCTTCCCTCACAGGAAAGGTTGGTGGTACCCTGGGGAGATTGGAAAGGCGGTCCTTCCTCCC